GTTCTTGCATGAGGCCCATTGTGCTTTAAGATTTATAAAGGTTTATCAAAGAACCACAGAGAATGTGATAACAATGTTTTATCGTGTTTGATGCAAATCACTGTTTTATTTTACTGTAAACACAGTAATATAATTGTGTATTTTTCTTGAGAATTTTTTCATTTAACTAAACTAACGAATGGTTTAGTGTGATTATGAAACAGAAATATTTACGTTTTGATATTTTTATTTTATTTTTTACTACTTGTACTCTTGTATGAATGTAATGGTGTGGTGATGTTTTAATTTACTAATTTACTTTGTTTTTATTTTATGTGAAGTGCTTTGTGATTTTATATCTAAGAAAGGTGCTTTTATAAATAAACTTTACTTACTTACTTACTTACTTAATCATCATAAAATGTTTAAGTTGAAACTAGATTTCTGCTCAATATAATAGTAATCTCAGTGTTGATTCTGTGATCAAGGGTCAATGCTTCTAATGGGTTCCTCTCTTCTAAAGGCTTGCTTTCTGCTGAAACGGGCCACTTAGTGCTGGCAGGAGATCCCAAGCAGCTTGGACCAATCATTCGATCTACCTATGCATTAAAGTACCAGTTTGGTAAGACAAGGATATTTTATATTGTCTGTTTTATGGCCTCTTTCCTCCTATGGTATTAGTAATTTCACWACTATTTTTTGAAGTTTTGCAGAATTCAGTAAATGTTTGGTGTTGCCCAACTTACTGGATCAGATTAATAAAAAGATCTAACAATGTTTGTGAATCCTTGGCAGGACTTTCTCTGCTGGAGAGGCTGATGAAACATGAACTTTATCAAGACTTTGGTTCTCGTTTCGTCACAAAGCTGCTGAGAAACTACAGGTGCAGCTTCTTTTTATGACCTCCAGAGGATTTTTGTATTGTGTTCCTGTTTGATTCCTGACACCTCGTCTTCTGCCTTTACTCAGGTCTCATGGAGCCATTTTGAAAATTCCCAACGAGGAGTTTTATAAAGGTGAACTGCAGGTGTTTGCTGACAAACAGGAGCGTGAGACTTACTGTAGATGGGAAGCCCTTCCTCAGAAGGTTAGACCGTACAGATGTTTTTGTGTTAATTGTTTTGTAACACTTTTGTTATACTGAAAAACACCAAAAGACGCACTTGTAGAATAAAGCATACCTGTAAAAGAAAATATATTTTTAGAAATATCTTTTTGTTTGCTTTTCCTAAATGTATAGCCCTACTTTTTTCCTCGCAGAAGAACACTACCTTTATGTAAATGTCATACTGAAATGTAATTTTCGCTTGTTTAATTTCCAAGCGACATGTGAATTTTAGTTTTTTCCACAGTTATTTGAAGCTGCTTCCGCTCTACCACAACAGGGTTTTCCGGTGATCTTCCATGGAGTGCTGGGGAAGGATGATCGAGAGGCCAACAGTCCATCGTTTTTCAACGTGTCAGAGATTGAAGTCCTGGTGATGTACCTCAACAAGCTGCATCAAACACAAGGGAAGAAAGGTACCAAGCTGCCCAAGATCTCTGCTAAAGACATTGGCATTATCGCCCCCTACAGGAAACAAGTGAGGCTGCATGTTCACTTGATTTTTAAAGATCACGTTTGTTGGATTTACTTCCGATCAGACATCAGTAACAAACATCTCCCAACAGGTTGAGAAAATCAGGAAGGCTCTAAGGTCCATCAAAACCCTCAGTCAGTGGACTGATCTGAAAGAACTCAAGGTTAGCATGGCTGCTACGACTTCAGAATTTTAGATTTTATTGTAAAATGTTTCTGAATTATAGATTTACAATTAACATGTTGTGTGAAAAAATAGAATACCTAATAATTTCAGTACGCAAAGTTGACTTAAAAAAACTTGGGGAAGGGTTTATTTATGAACCTAATCCAACCCATGTTTCTAACTGTTCAAAAGAAAAAATGTTTCTTTTCATGCATTTCTTCAATGAACACTTTTTTTTCATGGGACCAGGTGGGATCTGTGGAAGAGTTTCAGGGACAAGAGAAGAAGATCATCATGGTCTCTACCGTCCGCAGTTGTCCCAACTACGTTAAGATGGATGAGGAGTTTAATATTGGATTCCTGTCWAACGAAAAGGTTTGTCACAGGCTATTTAGCTGTCGTTCAGAAACTTAAAATGCAAGCGTTTGCACATTGTTTCTCTATTTAAGAGTATTCTTTTACTTCTGTTTTGTAGAGRTTCAACGTGGCCATGACAAGAGCCAAGTCTCTGCTTATAGTTGTGGGGAATCCTGTGATCCTCAGAAAGGACCCCATATGGGAGAAGTAGGTCAAAGAAAAACACTGACATTTGGTATTTAGTTACCAGTCATGTTGAAATGTGTACATTTGTTAATAAGTTCGGAGTTTAACAGAAAACTTACTGCAGACACTTCAGATGAGCAATTTTGTTGTTTATTTTCTAATGACCAAAAATTAAATTTTACAATACTTTACTGAATCATAGTAACATTTTATGAAAAAATAATTTGTATAATCATAGATTTTACAAATAATTTTTACCAGCTTGTTGTGAAGTCCAGTTTCTGTATCCACTTTTTACAAAGAACATTTTTGGTCATGTTTGTAAATGAGAAGTGGTTCTCAATCAGTTTACCTGGATAAATAAAAGTTAAATAAATGAATGAATTTTTTTATTTGTAAATTTTATTTTACTCCCTCATTGTTTACATAATCCTGCTTAGTGTACCTTTTTAAAAGTGGCTTACATTTTTTTAACCATATTCCTAGAGAGAAGATGGTAAATAAAACTTACAGAAATGGTCTTGGACTTCTTCTATTTTTTTTTTTTTTTACCAAGTTTGCCTTTTTTATTTTCTTGTTTTTCTCTTTGCAGGTTCATCAGCTACTGTGTGAAGATGAAAGGCTACGTTGGATTTGATCTCAGTAATGCTGAAGAGGAGGAAGATGACTTTGAGGCAAAAATGGCAGCGCTGAAAATYGTCGATTCCGAATGTTCGTACATCTTTCATCTTGATTAAGTTAAAATGACCAAAAAGATCATTTCAAGCTGCTGGTTGTGGCTGCACAATTTAAGACATTAAACACATCACTTTAGGAATATGTGGTGGATGTGATTTCAGGTTTTAACTCCCAGCAAGCCTGAATTTGTTTTTGGAACTACAGTTAACACATTTTACTAAAAGCCAATGGTAAGTTCCACATTTTAAAAATATAAATCTGTGTGTTTTTCTATGTGCTGTAGGCCTTGAAGAAGAAGAAAGCCCCCTTCAGCAGTTTGTGGAGCCTGAACCAAACACTGAGCTGTAACCTTTGGACTCAGCCGTGACAGAAACCCTGTTATATAAAGAGTCTAATGATGTGCAATAAGTATTAGGATTTTAGTTTTGTCTTCTCTGTTCAAATATTCTATCTTAAGGTTGTTTTTTCTAAAGGAAAATATATTTTCTGGAACTTGTATATGTTTCAAATATTTTCTACAAGTGTGATTTTTGAATAACGCACAATGTGGCATATGGCCGTTTGCAAAGTTACACAGTCAGAAATTACCACCAATATTTTTGTTTTATTTAGCCTTTTATAAGAAAAAAAGAACAGATTTATTTTTCAGTCAGTTTTTCACCATAAGATTCATACATTTATAAATGTCATAGTTTATAAACTAAATATTTAAC